GAACATCAACCCTGTTACATATCTTAGTATCATCAGCAAAAAGACATACCTTACCCTCAAGACCTTCTGCAATATCACTAATAAAAATATTAAAGAGAATGGGTCCAAGTACAGAACCCTGAGGTTCTACAACTCCATGTTGCCTGTCACTCAGCCACTGCCTTACCCATTCTACAATATTGGAATCCAAACTTAAAGATTGCAGTTTATTGATAAGCCTTCTATGTGCAACAGTGTCAAAAGCCTTACTGAAATCTAGGTAAGCAATGTCTACTGCACCACCCTGATCTATTATTTTAGTTACCCAATCAAAAAAATCAATAAGATTACTTTGGCATGATCTCCCTGAAGTAAACCCATGTTGTCGTTGATCTTGAAATCCATGTGTTTTTAGATGTTCAACAATCCTATCATTTAACATGGTTTCCATCACTTTCCCCACTACTGAAGTAAAACTTACTGGCCTATAGTTGCCCTACTCCTCCCTACTACCTTTCTTGTGAATGGGCACAACATTTGCTAACATCCAATCTTCTGGGACTACTCCTGTTAACAATGATTGGTTAAATAAATCTGTTAATGGTTTTCCTAGTACACCACTAAGCTCTTTTAATAACTTTGGGTGTATTCCATCTGGTCCCATTGACTTATTTGTCTTTACCTTCGATAGTTGAAATAAAACCTCTTCCTCTGTAAACTCACATGTAATAAATGGCTCATTTGTCCTTTTTCCTAACTGAGGTCCCTTTCCTTCATTTTCATCTGTAAATACTGAACAAAAATATTCATTGAGGAAGTCAGCTAGACCTTCATCCTCTTCTACATACCTTCCTTCTTTTGTTTTTAATCTAACTAATCCTTGTTTTACTTTCCTTTTCTCATTTATGTATCTAAAAAACGCTTTGTCCCTTTTTTTTTTTTTACTGACTGTGCTATTTTCTCTTCTGTGTGTGATTTGGAAGCTCTTATAACTTGCTTAGCCTCTTTCTGCCTAATCTTATAGAGCATTCTGTCTTTTTTTATAATTACTAAATTACATTGCAACACACCTGACACCTATGTATCTGTACCTGACCAGGTAATTTAACTGCCTTAACCAAAATAGGGTTCCCATGCCCACATCATCAAACTTGTACCCTCCCTGGATAGCTCTCCATGGAGCACCCATTCTATCCAAAAGGCACTCAGATCGGAGGAATTTAGCCCGAATGGTCTGGATGTTACGTTTTGACCAGGTCGCAAGCATCCTCCTATCCAACGCAGAGTATCAGAGTGCTAGGTGGAAAGTGCCGGTCACTTTCATTGATGGCACTTTCCATTGGTACTTTCAGCTCCTAAGTCCTTGGTATTATTTAATGCCTTACGACCTTCCCTATTTTCCCTCCAAATAGTGCTCTGCTTGGTAGTTCTGAAACCGAGAGCGCTCTCAAAGACGTTTTACCAGATCGCAGCAACTCTGTGATCTAATCTGGAGTTCCAGACGATTTGCAGGTTGCTCCTGGTTAAGCACGCCGTGCCTCTGCTGGTCCTTCACAGTGTACTGGCATCCCTGGGACCACTGGAACTGAGCTGGGAAGCCTGGTCTGGAGGGACAATTAAGTTAATGCTTACTGTCTTTTAGAAGAGGATGGTGGTTGGGAGCTCTGTACAAGTCCAAAGTGACTGGGCAACCTGTCACAGCAGCTATCCGGTTTAAGATCTAAACTGAACATTTAATTAGATTTGCTTCCAAACAGGTTCCTTTTGCATTTTACATGGTGTGAAGTCAATTATTTCAAGGACTCTGAAAACCAACCCACAAGTGTGCTTGGAAGATATAATTGAGCATGCACACCTCGCAAACATCAGAAACAACACTACACTCCGCACAACCCCAATTATTAAGCTAGTGTTTTTTTTTTTTCATTTTGTCAATCTTTATTTTTATTGAGAATGAGAGTCAACATGAGTTACAACGCTGCAGACATAACAATACCAGTGAAGGCACAAACATTACAGTTTGCCAATTTCTGGTAGGTCATAGTAGTAATTACAGTAAATACAGAAATGTGCACAATACTTCAGTAAGATAATATGAGTACATCGTAATAAGAAAAACAAGAAAAAAAACAATCCTCTTTTGTAGTAAATGGAAACAATAACACGCTAAGTTGCTGAGTTAGGCACATTATACATTAGTAGGTAAATAAAATAGAAGGTTGCTTTGTGTTAACTGACGGAAAAATAGAAATGACTGCATAACATGTTAGCCACAGGAGGATAGAACCACTGAAACTCCACGCACAGTTACCTGTCGTCATTGCACAAGGTAAACCATATCCAGAAGCTAAGGAGGTTAAACATGGTGGCTATAACTATGTGAAAAATGCATTCTGAGAAACTAGATTGTTATGGGGACATAGCCACTAATAAACGGCTCACGACTCACTACTACAGCACTGTATTTCACAAAATATAAAGGAAAGCAAAATAAAATGAAATATCATCACATTAATTGAGAAAAAAGTGCAGGGAAATATCTGCAGGCATCGGATATACGACAATGTAGAGCCGGAAAATGGCCCTGTATAGTTAGCCAGGTCGGCAAGACCAAGTTCATCCAATTCCTATCATTGGAAGGTACATGCTGTATACGTAGGGATCATTGTAGGCAATAGCAGCACAGGGGCGAATCAGGGCATTTTCCAGCCCCAGGCCTGTACACTGGCAGGGAACTTCAGACCACGGACTCGGGGACTCAAAGAGCCCAAGTCCTTCCCCAATGCATTGGAATGTTATCGAAGGGGGCCTCTTCGTCTCCCGGATCTCACTCCTCCACTCTCCATCATGAGGTAGAAGCAGCAGTGTTGCCTGTCATGCCCCCAAAGAGGCCCAAAACCTGTCAAAGAGAATATCTAGGTGCCTCAAGGATTGTGCAACATGAGCCTGGTGATTCATCCAAGGCTTTATAGATTCTAGGCCATATGGGGCAAACGCAAACACCATCTTGGCAAGGTATACTGCGGTTTGAATTTTTGCAGGTTTGTAGTATGTAAGGTAGGGCTCCATTGTGTGCTGCAGGCCAGTGGGGACCTGGACAACCCCCTCCGGTCGAAATGGGGGAGAGATGCAGTCAAGACCCGCGAGAGTACAGCATACGGAACGGGAGGCCCTACCAGAGTCTGAGGAGATTCATAGAGGGCACTTTGTGATACTAGTCCAGGGCTCCTTGGCTGGCTCCTAGGACAGGTAAGTCTCTGTTTAAAGCAAATGTGCATGCTGAAAGGTGATATTACCGCTGAATAGCTAGATCGATCTCAAAGTCCACACAAAACACTTCCAGCTGCCACTGGGCTTAAGCCAGTGTTTTTAATAATTGTATCTTTATTTTTTAACAATAGTGCACTTTAATCCAACGAGACAAAGATACAAAACTGGGCATCAGATGGTGATAAATACTTTACACAAGAAATAAAATGGCGCCAAATATAAAAGTGGTGCAGCTATATCACCCGTGAATCTATCACTAAAAATTCACAATAATACATTGAAATACAAAAATACCATGTGATAAAATGTGAAATCACACACAAAGTGAAATATATAATACATTTTAGCCCTTCCTTGTTATGGGTAATTCGAGTGTACAACGGGAAATACAGCAATATTGGCTCTATTTGATAGTAGTGGGTTGGCAGTATTTAAATCGACCATCAATTGGTGGAAGTGATCAGTATTCCCATCCGTAAGTGTCTTCTGAATGTTCCTCAATATTCCAATTTATGTTATGAGGTGATGCACAGACAGTAGGTGGTAAAAATGAAGTACAATAAACGTATTAAAAAATATACAAAATCTTACATGTATGTTTCAAATCATCCATATAAGCACAAGCACAACACGTTTCGACCAGGTAACCATGACGACTCAGATCAAAACTCTTAGTTACGTTTGGGTGGTGGAACAACAATAATTCTTGCACCTGGACCCCCTTGTTTACTAAGTTGTACTATGCCAGCCATAGGGGTGTTCATACACAGGAATATTTACAGTAAGAATTCAACGCCAATTTAAAGTGAATTTAAAATTTAAGAGTAGTTTAACTGGAATCATAGATGACTTGGAAAATGTGTTCAGCTGTTAGAACCTTACATTTGAAATCTACTTTAAATTTGATTTTAATTCTCATTTTAGTGAATTACCCTGTATACAGACTTTCCTATATTTCCTCTGTATATTTGGTAGTTTTTTGGCCATTACAATGGATTAATTTACTGACTTAAATAAAGCAGTCATTAGTACTCACTTCTTTTTTTTTAATTCTTTCTTTTATTATGGCATTTGCGTTATGGGATACAGAATAAAAGAAGGAGGCACTGTGGGGTAACACAAGTTGATAAAAACAAGATGGGGTGCAGTACACTCCTACAAAAGACTACCATATTTTTTTTTTTAAACGTCAAGTAAACATATCAAGACAAACCGTTGTTTAAGATATGGGTGAATGGTGAGTTAGTGGTTGCTCAAATAGTAGGTTTCACATGCGCAATATAACAGATTTGCACGCTCATTAAACATTAGAAGAACAATTGTGTGGCATAAAATAACATTGCACATTTTATGAAATAACGTAGATTAATCACAAGGTTAGCTTTTATGTCAGCTCTGATATAAGATTTTGAGAGACTGTAACATATTCACTTGCTGACATTAGATTTAAGGGTTATATATGAGCAAGCTTGAGCAGTCAAGGTTGATACGTCTAGCAACTATCTGCTACATCCCCCCGGGAGATCCCTCTTGTGGCACTTTCGGGTTCTCTAAGGGTTAGGCTAAGAACATGCTGTATGGTCAGTGGGTTCAAATAGAAAGAAAAACAAAAACAACAAGGAGTATACAGTGGCCATATTGTAGTTTCAAGCTCATGCAGGTGTATGTCTGTGTTACTTTCTGTAAGTATGGTCTTACGATAAGTAGCCAGTCCAGGGCCAAGAGTCCCATAGAGTCCTGTAATGCCTCCCTTACCAGCCTATGCCTTCAGGAGGTGCAAGCCAGTCCTGCCACATGTCGATCGGGTTTTCGCGCCAGTGTGGAGGTTGGTGAGCCTGTGAGTGCAGGGAGATCGCAGGCATTGCGTTTAGGTTGGAGAACGGTCGCCTCCTTGTGCTCCAGCTGGGTAGGTGAGGGGTGACTCCGTCAGCCGTTATGGAGAGGCAGTTGAGTCTGAGTGCCGGTCCCTGGGATGTTGGGGCGCCATGCCTGTGTGTGGAGCAGCCCTTCCGTGTTAAAGATCGCGGGCGCCTCTTCTGACTCCTCTGTAGGGTGCTGATGCGTCGTTTGCGCTGTGGGCCCCGTTTTCCCCCGATTTTCAGCACCGGACGGCCAAATGAGTGTGGCTGCTGTTTAGGGGGTTCACCGTTCCCCTCTAGCGTGCCATGCTTAGGAGTGGCTGTGTCTGCCATCTGTGAGGAGAGGGCTGCTGCCATTTCTGCGCGGAGTCTGATCCGCTCCCAAAACGCAGCGTAGATGTGGTCAAAAGCCTCCATTAGGCTCCGGTTTTGCCCCTCGGGGTCGCATTCCGTCTCCATATGGGGTGCTGAGACTGAGTCCTGGCGGGTGTACAGTGTGCACAGGTCAGTCCCGGGGGTAGGGATGCAGCGTGAGGTGCCGAGTTGTTCCTCACCGGCGGGGGGGGGGGGAATCGGGGTATCTCACCAGGTCATTCTCAGTAGTTTGTGGATAGAGGGGTCAGCCGCCCCCCTCACTCCCGTACCACGAGGTAGGCCACAACTAGGCCTCAAGCTTGCTCCAGTGAGATGTTGACCGATCGATGGGGGAGCCAGCAGCCAGGTTAGTAGCCCTGGGGTAGTAGGGTTGCTGCAGGGTCTGCTAGTGTCGAATTTGTGTAGCAAGAGTCCATTTATAAGATTTTATTTGAAGATGGCTCCCGGAGCCCCCCTCACTTTTTTTTTGCTGACAAACTCTACTAAAACTAGATCTGATGGTTTTTTTTTTCTATTTCAATAAACTTATCTATTAAAAAAATGCCCTTATTCAAATGCGAGACCCCTGAGGAGCAAACTGATCAAACAGACAGATTTTTCTACTTGCATATATTGCAAGTTTACTTGTTTAACCCTTTTACCAACGCGGTTCATGCCAGCATTTGCGGTGCAAATATATATATATTGGGGGAGAGAAGTTAGAATTACTCAACTCGATGGCACTTATTTATCAACCTTAAAAGGTTGAGAGGCTGAGTAATCAAGAAATCAGCATGTTTAATGTGATAAAAATTGTTATGTTAATATTTTTTGATGTGGCCAGACAGGTTAGTAATATTTGGGCAAGAAAAGATTGTCGGTAGAGCTCTGGTTGGGGAAACACCTATTTCTTTGCTCTTATTCGAAGTTATGATTTGAGAAGACAATAAAGGTTAGAGAATAATAAGCAGTACCCTGCCAGGATATACAGTACCTACTCACGAAGCATTGTGGTTAATGAAATTGTAACCACTACCGAGAAGGACTCAAAATGCATAAATGCTTCAAAAAAAGTCTTGGATGATTTTTTTTGCATGAACAGAACATTCAAGGATATAATTGATATGTATAGGAAAAGATTGTTGATCCAAGGAGAAATCTGATTACAATTATGGATTTAAGAAGAGATTGCTTCCATTTTTGGTGGCATAATTAGAAATGGCTACAGCTGGGATTTTTGCCTTCTTTGGGATCAACAGCATAAGAGAATGGGTTTCAAGGTTGAACTTGATGGATTTTAGTCTTTCTTCAACCTAGACATCGATGTAACAGAAAGGTCAAAATTTAACTTAGATATAAAGATATATCTGTGTGCATGCAGTTTGCCTCAATGACACAATTGACACAAATCTCATGTCATGGCCACAACACGCAACCAACGCTTATAAGATGTAGTTGGAGAAAATGTCATAATTTGGCCCAGTGTTCGTTAGTTTCAGGTAATTTACACCAGCTGCCAGTCTTAACCCTAAATGACAGTAAGGTATAGCGTACAGCACCCAGCGTGACTCATCGCTTGTAAAACTCTTATGACAGGTGGTGAGCTGTGCCCAGAACCAACATCCTGCCAGAACCCACAAAATGTTATGAGGCGTAGGCACGCAGGAGAGACAATATTCGTCAGACACCCAACAGTGATAGCATTACGTGGCATGTCTGCTAAACAGTGCAATGAAAGATTAATAACCACTTGTTACAAATGCCAATTTAAAGGGTCACTGTGGACTGTCCATACATAGACCATTGGTCTACTGACTTTTGCACATAACCCAATAGTTGCACACAGTCCAAACACTGAAGCAGAATGTGTGTAATTCATTAGCAGGCACAGTACTCCTAAGGGACTTGTTCCAAAAACCTCTGCTATAGAACAGACCCCATGTACCAGGATGAGATGCTACTGATTGGAGAGTTTTATCCTGATGAAGATGGAACCTGACTGAAATTGTAGGCACCCTCACTAAAACTGTGATGGTAAAGGAAACTTTGATGGTACGTATCTTTTATTACATTTTAAATGTAATATCCTTTCATTGTATTTAATGCATAATCAATATAATGTATTTAAAACATGGGGAGGGCATTTCCACCCATAGATTCCCTTTAATGCCAGAGGACACCGAGGGGAAGCCCAGATACATATGTAAAAATGATAGTGCTTGCAAGGTTGGTTAAATTATTTCCACACTACGGGAAAACTAAAAGAAATTCCTAGATCTGTCGCATATATCTATTGCTTCTAGAGTTTGACCACATCTGCTTCATATTCACTTCTGTTTGGTCCCTGCGAGCCATTAATCTTTACAGTTTTCTTCCACATAATCCTAACGTCACTTTAATTGCTCATACTGAACACTTGCATTATGACATTTGACACGTGCTTTGTTCTGTTAGATTTTACTATACGTGTTTATAATATTAATTTTTGTGACTGTTAACCGTTATGTCTATTGTAATATGCAATAGTTACATCTTGCATTTACAAATTAAATTTCAATAAGATTCAATAAGAAATTATATAATCCGGTCAATTTATATGTCAGCATCTAAAAAAAATAAACACAAACTAGATTAAAAAGAGACATTAAAACAACTTTGCTTTTTTTTTTGCATTCATTTATACATGAATAGTTTTTGCAACAGTAAACATTTTTGCACTGTAAGCCTGCCTATGTAGCCACGCCCCTTCATTCTAACATTCTTCCTGCCTTAGCCTTGTACATATGCAACTCAGCACTGACTGCACAATCAGCTGGGCTGTAGGGAGATTAGGCAAGGAGGGCACACAGGAAGGCATGCAGCAAGTTTATATCTGTCTGTCTCTATGTTTGCCTGTGTATGTCTACTAAAAGGTGCTTTCATGGCCCAGTGCTGTATGTGTGCACCAGGCTCTGAAAGTACTGTTTAGTAGACATGTGCAAGGAGACAATTATAACCACCATTTCAGCTGCAATAGGAAACTGAAATGTCAGTTCAAGTCATAAATAGTTTTCCCGTCTGCATAAATAGTTTTGCCCATGAGCATAGTTTTTAGCACTGCTTGCCCCTCGCCCTCTGTCAGTTGTGAGTGAAGAAGGAGAGCCCAAAGAGCTGCCTCTGTCAGTTGTGAGTGAAGGAGGAGAGCCCTGAGAGCTGCCTCTGTCAGTTGTGAGTGAAGGAGGAGAGCCCTGAGAGCTGCCTCTGTCAGTTGTGAGTGAAGGAGGAGAGCCCTGAGAGCTGCCTCTGTCAGTTGTGAGTGAAGGAGGAGAGCCCTGAGAGCTGCCTCTGTCACCCTGAGAGCTGCCTAGCACTAAAGTCATACCTCCTCCTAACTCCCAAGTCGTCTGGGTGGCAAGCATTATATGGGTTGTTACCAGTGACACAACCAGCATCACCAGTGACACCCATAATGGGCAGACCACCCAGATAGTGGTCATGTGTGGTTGGCGTCAAGAATGCCAGGCTGACAGACAGCCTCCTGGTTCGCCCCAGCCTATGGGACCATGTAGAGAGTGCTGTTGAAGTGTTTTTTTGTATTGTCCTATTGTCTGATGCACAGAGTGAGCATGTCTAATGATGTGCTCACACTGGCAACCTAATGCCTATTGCCCCCTTGGTTTCATATATATATATCAGTATATTAGACATGACCAGCACTCACGGTTTTGATAAAGATTTAAAAGTTATAAGTTTAATCCATATATGTTAAAAAGTTGACAGCTGGACATTTCAGTCCTCTTATGGGACTTTCATTAGGAACAATATATATATAAATTTGGGAGTCCAGGCCAACTCCCCAGTTTTGCATCCCTCCCTGTCACAGGTGCTTTATAACAAGGCTCTATTTAACTTTGACCTGCAGAGAGTCCCAGGAGGAAGTAGTTCCCAAGTAACTGGATTGATCTCATAAGAGCAGACATTAGGTGCTAGAGTGGGATCTGTCAAGAATGCGGCAGGCAATGTATGATCATAAACTGTAACTAAACCCACATTATTTTTGCCTAGATTAGGTGTTTTAAAAAAAAAAAAAAAAAAGTATTGAAAACTGTGAGCTTTGAAATTGCTATTTAGTGAATGAGTGAGTGTGCTGGATCTTGTAAACTAATATATGAGAGACACAACTAAAGCAGAGTCTTCATAGAGTAGCTGTTTAAGGTAGCTGTAAAAGATGGCTGTATAAAGTAGCTGAATAAACTGATAGCTGTGCAAGGTAGTTTTATAAGGTAGGTGTATAAGGTAGCACTTATCAGTAGGTTATATAATGAAGTAGTATAAGGTAGATTTATACAGTGTATAAAGTAATGCCTGTATAATATAGCTGTATAAAGTAGTGGCTGTATGAAATGGCAGTATAATGTAATACATGTATATGTAGATGTATGAGATAGCTGTATAAAGTAGTGGCTGTATGAGATAGCTATATAACATGGCTGTATAAAGTAGTGGCTGTATAAAGTAATGCCTGTATGAGATGGCTGTATAAAGTAGTAGCTGTATGAGATGGCTGTATAAAGTAGTAGCTGTATGAGATGGCTGTATAAAGTAGTAGCTGTATGAGATGGCTGTATAAAGTAGTGGCTGTATAAAGTAGTGATTGTATGAAGCGGTGGCTGTATGAAGTAGTAGCTGTGTTAGATGGCTGTATAAAATAGTGGCTGTATCAAGTTGTGATTGTATCAAGTTGTGATTGTATGAAGCGGTGGCTGTATAAAGTAGTGGCTGTATAAAGTATTGATTGTATAAAGTATTGATTGTATAAAGTAGTGACTGTATAAAGTAGTGAATGTATAAAGTATTGATTGTATAAAGTAGTGGCTGTATAAAATAGTGACTATATAAAGTAGTGACTGTATAACGTAGTGACTGTATAACGTAGTGACTGTATAAAGTAGTGGCTGTATAACGTAGTGACTGTATAAAGTAGTGGCTGTATAAAGTAGTGATTGTATCAAGTTGTGGCTGTATAAAGTAGTGGCTGTATAACGTAGTGACTGTATAAAGTATTGATTGTATAAAGTAGTGGCTGTATAAAGTAGTGGCTGTATTAGATAGCTGTTTAAGGTTGG